ATATATATAACAAAATATATTTTTAAACGTATTTATAAAATTAAACGTATACATATATAACAAAACATATTTTTGAACGTATTTATATAAAACATATTAAAAATAAATACGTTTAATTTTATAAATATGTTTTGTTATATATATATATAAATATAAATTTATTAATTACCAAAAATTTGAAAAAAAAATATTTTTTTTCCAAAAGACCGGCCGTAACCGGTTATGGGACCGGAACCGGGCGGCTTAACTGGTTACCGGTAAGCTTGACCGGTTATAGAGGATTTCACCGGAACCGGGACCGGTTATGGAACGTTTTTGTCTTGATCGAGACCGGCCGTAACCGGTTATGGCCCGGCCCGGGACCCATTTTTGGCCACCTCTACATTTTAGCCTTTTAGGCAGAAAGCTGGGCTTGGGCTCACAACCCACCAATTCAAAAGACTGAATAAAATGGACCCATTATTGAAATCTCTAGTATCATCTCCAACAGTTATGCTATTTTAAAAATTACAGTAATTTAAAAAAAACAACAGTTATGCTATTTTAAAAATTAAAGTAATTTTAAAAAAAACTTGTTTCAATAGTTATATTAAATTCCCCTTTAGAATACAGAAAAAGGTAAAGATAACTGAGAAATCTTCAAATTTAAAACAAAAGAAAGAAAATATAGCATAACTGTTAGAGATGTCTTGACTACACCAACTTTGTTTTTTCAGTAAAAAGTGTTTTTTTTTATTAACCTGGATATCAAACTCGCTATATGAGGCGACCACATGCTTTGCAGATAGCCCGGAGTCACCACATTTAAACCTCCGTGGCCACAAGAAAATTTTTATTCCTCCTTGGATTTAAACCGGGAAGAGTTCAGTGATAAAAAAAATAGATTTAATTATTTTTTATACTATTTTTTTAAGTATTTCAAAAAAAAAAGTCAGGGGTTCTTTTTTGTATATTTTTTCAATTATAACTCTTGAATCTTTTTCTGTTATTTTTTTAATATGTCAGTTTAGGTCAATTTATACTGTTAGTTTTTTCAGCCAACAATTATCATATATCAGTTAATTTCTAACACACATCCAATAATCTAACAAACATTATTTTTATACTGTATGGAATGTGAATTCCGACATCAATACGGAACGGATATTATGGACGTAATAATGTATTTACCCATATAACATATAACACGATATTTATCATGTAAAATTCATACCGTAAGTCTCAAATTAGCAACAAATGAAGAAACTTCATATAAAATTAGAGAAGAGATAGCATGAAGAACATTTAATCTTGTAATCTCAACTCGTCGGCATGATTACAATGGAGGGGAAATAGAGAGAATTACACACAATGAATCAATCGACTCCCATAAGCTTACCTTGTGTGTGTAATTCCTATCTCACTCATGATAAAATGGCCCTAGACACCTATTTATACTAGAGATGGCCAAATGGGCCCGGCCCGGCCCGTAACCGCCGGAGGACCGGAACCGGGACCGGAGAGGGACTGGAATCGGCCCGGCACCGGTATGGACCGGTTGTGGACCGTCGGTTATGAACCGGTTATGGATTTTAACGTTTTTTAGGACCGAAACCGGTTATGTAACAGGTTATAAGACCGGCCCGGCCCGGTCAACAAAAGTCAACGTGTGTATATATATATATATATATATATATATATATATATAGGGTTGGGTTCACGTGAGACCAGCCTGTTTTCGTGAGACCCGTGAGACCACATTTTTACACGTAACCTTCACAGCAAAAACACTGTGAAGGTTTAAAAAAAGTCAAACCTTCACAGCAAAAACACTGTGAAGGTTTTAAAAAGTCACCTTCACAACATTTTGCTGTGAAGTTTCAAGTGTAAAATGTTGGTCTCACGGGTCTCACGAAAACATGATGGTCTCACATGATCCCAAGTCTATATATATATATATATATATATAGAGAGAGAGAGAGAGAGAGAGAGAGAGGAGCGATCAAATGAAAATCACTCCAATTTGTAAAAACCGTAAAAACTACTCTCATTTGTCGATTTCATTGTTTAATCTTATGAATTTTTTTCATGAAATTGTTTAATCTTGTGAAATTGTTTCATATAATATTTTTTTTGATGAAGTTGTTTCATATATGGTTATGAAATTGTTTCATATACTACTTAATGAAACTGTTTCATGTATTTCTCTAAAATTAATGAAACTGTTTCATGTATTTCTCTAAAATTAATGAAACTGTTTCATGTATTTCTCTAAAATTAAAATAATGAAGATGATAACATCCATGATTAACATCATCCACAATAAAAATGATTAATCAATCTCTCATAATTACAAAAAAATAAACAAAATGAAAAATTATGATTAGTTGAATGAAGTTTGTACGGTTTGTACAAATTAGGTGGTTTTTATTTGAACGTTCCCCTATATATATATATATATAACAAAACATATTTTTAAACGTATTAAAAATAACATATTAAAAATAAATACGTTTAATTTTATAAATACGTTTAAAAATATGTTTTGTTATATATATATATGTATGTATATAAATTTATTAATTACCAAAAATTTGAAGAAAAAAATATTTTTTTTGCAAAGGACCGGCCGTAACCGGTTATGGGACCGGGACCGGGACCGGACGGCTTAACCGGTTACCGGTAAGCTTGACCGGTTATGGAGGATTTCACCGGAACCGGGACCGGTTATGGAACATTTTTGTCTTGATCGGGACCGGCAGTAACCGGTTATGGCCCGGTCCAGGACCGATTTTTGGTCACCTCTAATTTATGCTGTGAAATTAGGGTCCATTTACAAATATTAAGCCCAGGCCCATGTAAACAACCAAAGCCCAAAATACAAGATACTTTATCCATTGTGTACGACCTGCTGATGCACCTAACCTCCAGACCCGTCCTTCTTCCCCCTTGATGCCCCCACCATCCTGAGAAACCCGTCCTTCTTCCCCACCTCGCCCCACCTCCCCGATTCATTTTCTCCGACAATTCAAAATCTTTAACAAAATTATGGATGAATAAATCTACGTCAAAAGTAAAAAGTAAACCATGATTCCAAAACAAACTCAAATCCAAAAAAGAAAAAAACAAACTCATATTCCAAAACAAACCCCACATCCAAAATCAAAAATCCTAAAGAAAATTCGAAAAACTATCTGTGATTTGCTTCGATTCCGTTCAAAACCACCTAAAACTGGTCGAAACTGATACCAAGTTACCAACTCTGTTTTCTCTCAAACTTGAAAAAACGTTTTATCTTTTTTTTTTCTTTCCATTTTACATTCTTTTGTGACAGTGGGTTTTTGGGTTATGTTATTGTCGAGCAATGATGAATGATCTGAAGTCATTACAAGTAAACCTGTATTGCTGGTAATGGCTATGACAGTGTCTGGATTCAAACTTCAAATAGATAAAAGTGTTTAATCTTTATTATTTCGTTTAAAGAAACTGGTTTTAAACTGATACATAACAAATACCGATTATTATTATTATTTATGGGATCTTGGATGAGTTTCCATTCATCCAATTAAAACTTGATAGATGACCCTACCAAAATCAATTATGTAATTGTGAATAATGGAAGAGCAGATGGTAATAAATTGAAATTCACCAACAGGATTTGCATTTATTTCTACACATTCTAATTAATATAATTCATTTACTCCACCCACACAAAATTATTTTTGAAATTATTATTATTATTATTATTATTAAAAACTTTAAAAGAAACCTAAAAAACTATTTTATTTTGAATGATTAAGTATGCAAACTATTTTTGTGCACTATTTTTCTGAATAAAAAACTATTAAATTTTTTCATTTTTAATGATTAAATTTTTTAAACTATTTTTTTGAATGACAAAATTATTAAACATTTTTTTATTGAAAAAATCATTCTCATTTTAATTGATTAAGTTCATGAACATTTTTTTTAATAAATAAACTATCGCACTTTTAAAAAAAGGTTAATTATTTCTTTTAACCAAAAAAAGTTATATTAACCGACTAGTAAAAATTCGATTGTTTATTTATTTAAAATTCAGAGTCTTAATCATTTAAAATGTCAAAGTTTAATGGTTTTTTCATTCAAAATAATATTAGGAACTTAATCATTTAAAATGAGAAAAATTAATGGTTTTTTCTATTCCAAAAAAATAATTCAGGAACTAAACCATTTAAAATGAGAAAGTTTGTTGGGTTCTTTTTTGACTTTTCCCATATTATTATCGTCGTCGTCATCATATAATCGATTCAGATGAGAATAATGATCAGATAAAAGATCACGAGAACGGGTAAACCATATGTGATTTTACACTAAACTCACGTGTAAAATCACATATGATTACACACGACATTGAAATAGGTCACAAACCAAGTAATCTGTGCACCCATACGCTAATTATATTATGTAATTACATGTGATTTCAGTGTAAAATTATATGGGATCTGATCGTTTTTATTCTTTTCTTATTCTGACCTTATTATCGTATGATAAAGGAGAGTTAAAACTAGAGCCATAATCCTAATTAACCATCTATTTTTTTTTTATCATATTTTGATGCACGAAAACCCGATGACCCAATAATCCAACGTAACTGAAAAAATAGACCAATGAACTCAACTTTAACATAACCGAAACCCAACAGAATTCTAAATTTTAAAGCCCGACATGATTGGATAGAAAAGTAATTAGGCCCAAAATCAAACCAACCAAACCCAACCCGTTAAAGTCGTCCAAGAAACTTTATAACGATGAATTTAGTTTCTGTAACTTTAACCGTTCTTGTTATTCGTAACTGTTGAATTAAAATAATTGTAAAGTTTGGATGGTTCAATTTTTACCTTTTACTGATTCTTTTATAAACCGGCACCTCCCACTTTGTGGTTGTATAAATATTATAAAATTGCATCAAAATGAAACCAACTTTATCTTTATTCTTATTTTGGGCAACCAACTTTCTTTATTTGGTAAAAGGGAAAATATAGATGTAGATACTAAGACTTGTATATTTCCTAATTTGGAAGAGATCATTACATAATGCACCTTCTTTTACAAACCAAAACTCATCTCCCTCCCCACACAAAATTAAACACATGTCTACCAACCCAACACGCATCACTCGCTTGTACCGTACAACTCATCGATGCATCGACAAACCGAAGATTTATCGACCACCGTTTTACGCAACGCTTCCATGGTCCGATGCATCATCGTAGTAATAAGGCGTTAATTTCCCGTCTTTCGAGCCAAACTTCATGGGGTTAACGGACCCGATCTCTTGTAACATCTTCACGACCCTTCTCATCGATGGTCGGTTGATCGGAAGTGGGCTCGTGCACAACAGCCCGACATTCAAAACTTTGCATATTTCTTCCTTGAAACACGAGTCGAGTTTCGGGTCGAGCACAACGTCTAGGCCTTTTTGGTCCAATGTGGTGCACACCCACTTGACCAAGTCCTTTTCTCCGAACTCGGGGTCGACCGGGAGTTTTCCGGTCACGAGTTCGAGAATCACGACACCGAAGCTGTAGATATCGCTCTTTTCGTTCACACGTAACGTATATGCATATTCTGCAAGAAAGTTATACATCATGCCTTAAGAGTTGTACATTATAGAGGGCATAAACAATCAAATATAGAACTAAAGTGGCTAAAGAGAAGGGAGAAAATGGTCGAACCTGGAGCGATGTAACCACACGAACCGGCAATAACCGACATCGATTTACCACCCTTATCGTTACCGTCGACGACCTTCGCCAAACCGAAATCCGCCACTCGAGCTCCAAAATCACCGTCCAATAAAATGTTATTCGACTTAACATCTCGATGAACGATCGCTGGAACACAATCGTGGTGCAAATACGCCAACCCCTCGGCAGCATCCACCGTGATCTTGTATCTTGTCGGCCAATCGAGCAACCCGCTCTTACTACTATGAAGCAAATCACCCAAACTTCCATTCGGCATATACTCGTAAACCAAAAGCTTACAGATTTTCGTCGAACAACAGCACCAAAGCCGTACGATGTTTTTATGTCGTATCTTCCCTAACGTCTCTACCTCGGCCTCGAACCCGTTATCCCGAACTGATACCGATACCGAACCGTTCTCGAGATCCCCATCCTCGCCCTTTTTCGAACCGCCCCAAAGTTTTTTTACCGCCACCGCGTCGCCATTGCTCAAAACCACCTTATAAACTTTTCCCGACGAGCCACTTCCGATCACGTTATCCTCATCAAGCGCACCCAAGATTTCGTATTCGCTAAAACTTAACTTGTGGAACGACATCAATGTCCATTTCGATTTGTCGATAGTTTGTTTCGAATTCTCGAAATTCTTGTATCGAAAATAGAACCAGCCGACGCCAAAGATGAAAACTACACCGGCGAGTACGAAGATCGATCGGAGCAACCAAATGTAACCCATGTTCCGAGTGACGTTTTTCCCATCACATAAGCCCTCGATGTCGCCACAAAGCCCCGGATTACCCAAAAAGCTATTGATGTAAATTTTCTTGGCGTAAACCGGAGGGATATCACCCGAGAGACTATTACTCGATAAATTGAGCTGATTGAGGCGGAGATTCTGCAACCCAACCGGGATTTTGCCGGAAAAGCGATTTCCCGAAAGATCAAGATAGTTTAAGACCGATAATTGGCCGATCTTATCAGGAATGTCGCCGGAGAACTGATTGGTAGCCAAATTAAGCTCGTTTAGCTTCTTTAAAGAATCAATTCCAGCCGGAAGCCCACCGGAGAATCCATTGTTGTGGAGATCAAGCTTGGTTAACTGTTCAAGATTCACAATGGTAGCCGGTAAAGAACCGGAGAATCGATTGTTACTACCGGAAAACTCGATTAAATTGTCCAGAAACCCAATCTCATCCGGCAACTCACCGGAAAACTTGTTATTGGCTATGTTCAGGGTCGACAAATTCCCAGCTCCGGCGATGGTTTTTCCGATCACCCCTGTGAATGAGTTTTCAGCAAGCTCAAGTAACGACACCTCCGGAAGAGCCCAGAAACCTGCTGGAACATCGCCGGAAATCTTGTTGAATCCTAAACGGACACGTTTCAAGCTCCGACATTTGCCAAAACTAGCCGGAATTTCACCCGAAAACGAGTTGTGTATCATTAACAGTTCTTCCAAGACGCCATTTTCACAGAGAGTTGCCGGAATTTCACCGGAAAAGAGATTGTTCGAAACATCTACCCACGTTAACGGTGAGTTTTTCCCTAAATCTTTCGGGAGGCTGCCGGAAAATCGATTGCCGAATAACTTCAAATCATTAAGATTACTTGAATTCGATATAATTTCTGGAAATTTACCTCCAAATTCATTTTCATAAAGATGAAGTGATTCGAGTTGCAAAGAACACAACTCATCTGGAACCGATCCGGTGAACAAATTCATGGAAATATCGAGCAACCGCAATGACGTCATCTTCGACCACCCCACCGCCGGCAACTCACCGGTCAGCGAGTTGTTGTAGAGCTCAATCTGGACAACATTCGATAATCCGGTAAGCGAACTCGGTACCCGACCGGTGAGTTGGTTGATGGCAAGGTCCAGATCTACGAGTTTACTGAGTCGACCCAGCGAGTCTGGAATCGGTCCAATCAAATTGCAGCCGGTGAGCCATAAAACCTCGAGGTTTGTAAGATTTCCGATCTCCGGCGGGATCTGACCGGGAGAGAAGGGGTTGTATGATAAGTTGAGCTGCTTTAACGTCGAAATGTTTCCGAGTTCAGCTGGAATCTTTCCGTCGATGAGATTATCAACCAGAGACAACTCTTCAAGCTTCGGAAACAAGCCGAAACTGGCCGGAATGTTGCCGGAAAAGTTGTTCCCTGTTAAATCTAGAAATTTCAGCTCAGGAAGCTCAGATAAGCTGTGGGGGATTGTACCCGTGAGCAGATTCTGAGCAAGATTAAGGTGAGCAAGACTCCGACACGCCGAAATATCGCCGGAAAGTGTACCGTTGATAGAGTTGTTGTACAAAGATATAAACTTCAGGCCGGTGAGCCGGCAAAGAACCGACGGAAACGGACCAGCAACATTGGCATTTGATAAATCGACAGCGATAACAAAACCATTTCCAGATTCCGAACAAGTAACGCCGGTCCATTGACAAGGAGAATCATTATTGGCGGCTACATCCCAATCGGAGAAAAACCCATCTGGGTCATCAAATCCAAGCTTCACACGTTGCAGATAACGCCCTTCTTGATTCAAACAAACAGCAAACGGCACCAATAACAAGAAAACACAGCAGAGACATCGTGACATCTTTTCCGGTGGTTGAAATCTTCAGAACAAATGATTCAAGAAAGCCCTTAAAACAGAACCCCACAAGAAAAATGTGAATTAAACACAACGCACATCATGAAATTACTTCACCAACAAAGGGGAAAACTCAAAAATGAATATAAAAACAGAAAGGTTTAACTACTTATAGATACAAAAGAGTGTATGTATATGCATATATATGAAAATGGTGAGGAATTGGGGTAGGGACGGAGACAGTGGTCCATGAGAGAGAGGTTCAAATCACGAGGAGTGAGGAGTTAATTATGATTAGATGGTGCTTTATTGTATGAATTAATTGGGTGTTGGATTGAAGAAGAAAGAAGAAAAGGTAAGCCGACAATGGGTTTTCAATTGGGGGGGAAGGTAGCGCCTGCAACGGAGGGTTGAGTTTCAGAGAGATGGTAAAGTGGGAGTGTGTGTGATAATGTGTGTTTTTTGGGAAGGAGGTGTGATTATGGAAAAGAGGAGAAACAAATAAACCAGAGTGGGAAAAACTTATCATTTTTTATCATTAATTTTTGGATTTTTTTTATTATTAAATGTTTTTTTTTTCTTGAAGAAAATATTATTAATGTATAACATTTATATGATAAAATCATACGTATTTCATTTTTTTTCATTTATAAAAATATATCTCATCTTGTAGGATAAATGTGTTATTATCTAAAAGTTATGATAATATAGATAAATATATATTAAAGACAAACTAAAAAGATATTCATGTAATCTAGTGAGATTCATCTTGATTTTAATATTTCATTTTATTATTTATCTCAGTCGATGTTATAGTATGGTCTTATGTGATTTTGAAAAAACGATAATGCTTTTACTTTTAAATAAAATATAAATTTGAAGATATCGTAAAAATTTGACAAAAATATATCGATATTAATATCAAATTAATTATTTAAAATTCTTATTTTTTGTGTAACTTTTTAATTCAATATTTTTTATTATAATTTAATTTAGGTTCGAAGTAGTTTATATTTGGTTTAATAATATAATTTTCTTGTAAAGATAATAATTAATTATTTTGTTAGAATTCGATAATTATTCTAATTATATTTTAGATTTTTTATATTTTAAAATGAGATGTTTATTCTCTATTGATCATGTTTATGCACAGTTAGTTACACAAATTCAAAGTTGTACTTATGCATAATTTACTTGTAATCTTGAATTTTAAGTAATATACATCAATATATAGTGCTTCATGCATAAAAATGGTTTTAAGAATTTTTGTCAAATCTATACTATCTTATTAAGCAAATTTAGCAAAAATCTTAAAGTCTTAAAATATTAAATGACCAAAATACCATTTATACTATCTTACCTCACTTTTTTCATTTTTTCACCCTCTCCTCTCCTCACATACACTCACCCCCTCACATACACTCACCCTCTCGCAACCGATTTTTTTAAAACTATAATTTTAAATTTACACTTTATACCCCTATAATTAATTAATTAATTTATTTTACGTCTTTTACTTTTAAATGTTTTATTTTAAACTTTTATCAAATTAACATACATAATCGTATATCAATTAAAACATGTTTAAAAAATACATTTTTATTTTAACAAGTTACACCATTATAATCGTCTCGTTAATACCTTCGAAATGAGTCCAATATTGAATAGTTTTTTACTTAATTATATTATTTTATATTATATATACTGTAAAAAAATATTTTTAATATTTACAATTTATACTTTTATAGTTATTTATTTATATATATATATACTATATATTTTGGGGTTAGGCTGTTCAAATTGCACCGTATAATATGTTCTGAATTAATATGTTCTTGGGTTTTTTTGAAATATATATATGCATGTATTAATTCAACCTTAATCTGAGTTTCTAGACAAGAGAGAGGGTAAGTAGTTGAAATTTCATTCTAAAACCTATTTTTTTGGTCTTTTCATGGCTTAACATCTGTTAAATTTGTAGTTTTCTTTATTGGTTTTGAGTGTTTATCATAAAACTCAAGTTTTTTGGTCTTGGTGTTTATCTTAAAACTCAAGTTCTTTGCTCTTGGTGTAAATCGAACACATTTGTGGAGTCGTCTAAATATGTTGGATTTTAAATATATTGGATTTTAAATTGTTATACAATTTTTTTCATCGATAGTCTGTAATTGGAACCATAACTCTTATTTATTCAAATTGTATTAATATGTAAAGACCAAGTATAACATATATCATCGTTAAATCTTATCTTATAAAACAAGTGGAACTTCAAAATCGTTAAAATTCATGGCTCCCGCCGCATTGCGCGGGTACACAACTAGTATTTTATAATATAGTTTATATTTGAATTAATTTGTCCATATTTAAATGGTTAAAAACATCTTCAACGGTTATGCTATAACTTTATAAGTCAAAAGTTTATAAAAAAAAATTTCACTCGACTCCAACAACTATTCTATTTTAGCAATTCTACTACTAACTATATTATTAAAATATTAAATAAAATATTATTTATCTTTTTTAAACACTTGATTTCAATGTCTTTTATTGGATAAAATTATTTATTTCTTAAAATGTTGGTTTTAGAAATTTCTTTAAATGTTGAGATCTTTATTCTCTCTCTTTCCTTTCTCTACTTTAACGTATGTTAAAGCATAGCTGTTAAAGCAAAAATATACCTTAAATTTCCAAAATTTATATTTTAGCATAGTTGTTGAAGATGCTGTTATATAATAATTAACCCTTGTTTTACTATTGTTATCTTCCGTTTATACTCTAACATCTAATCTAACAGGATGTTTGAAACAACTTATGCTTTTATACAAAAGCATTTATCAACTTATTATAAGTCAGAAGGGTTTAACCTATTCAAAAAATTCTTATTACCGGTTTGGCACCGATATAAGTTGTTTATCCAAACACTCAAAAGTGTTTATTACCGGTGCCACACTGGAATAAGTCAATAAGTTGTTTTTATAAGCAATCACACACTAGAACCAATGATCTCTGTAGAGCTAGAGGTGGACATAAAAAAACATTCTGAGTGGTGACACAATTTGAAAACAATAAAATGGCGCCTTTCAAAAAACGTGATTTTTCCCTTTATGAAAAAACCATGAAGCAGCAGCCTGTGCCAGCGTATGTGCTATGTAGATCTGCCCCTGTGTATAGGAGTTGCAGGACCTAACTTTTCATAGTCTAATAAAATAAGTTGTGGTTTTCAAATCGTTTTTAATCTGCTATTTCAAAAAAAAATCCATATACTATGATATACCCATAAATTAAAAACACTTTCTGATGGGATCTTTATCATCAACATTATGTGTTTTCACTTCTCAAGGGTCGTTTACCAAATAATTACTTGGGTAAGCGCTTATCAAGTTACATTATGGATGAATATGGTAAGAACCAAGAATCTTACGCGGTAAGAGTGAGACAATGACCAAGAATCTTACCCGGTAAGTGAGGGCAATGATTCTTTCCACAACCAGTTCTTACCAGGTAAATTGTTGCATATAAAGCCATTTTTGTTGACTAAAATCTTGTTCGGTAAGTAATGACAGTGTTGAATTTTACCGGTACGTGTTTATCGGATAAGTGTTTGATAAACGGCCCTCAATGAGCTTCCACCCGAGTCATAAGTTGTTTTAGATAACTTTTAAGATTTTTACAATCTTTCAACCCCAAGTTGTTCTTGGTGAAACAGGATTCCAGATGAGTTGGTGTGTTTTCTCGCAACATTTTCACTTCCAACGATTTTATAAATGATATACTTCAAGTGTTATGTGTTTATTAAAGAGCGAGACCCAACATCAAATGCAAACCAGCTAAATGTTATAAACCGTGAAAATAAGTTTCATGTACTGTTTCATAGATAAAACAACACATGTAAAAACCGAACCCATAGAAATCAACTAAAACCGTTCAATAAGTTTGATTTTAAGCTATTTTCTGGTTCAATCCAAAAGAATGTTTAAAATAAAACAACATTCCAAGAGTAAAATGTATATTGAATTTTTTATTTTTATTTTTATTAACCTGGATGTCTAACCCGTTATGCAAACTGACTAATCTCAGGACGACCATCTGCTTTGCAGATAGCTCGGAGTCACCACATTTGAACCTGCGTGGCTACGAGGAGATTTTTATTCCTCCTTAGATTTGAACATGAGACCTTCTGTTACTTTTGACCTTCGGAACCAAGCTCGAACCAATTACGATTAAATTTGGAAAAGAAAATGTGAAATATCTTGAGAAGAAGACGACAAAAAAACAGTAAAGTGGTGGTTGTACAGTGTGCAGTAGAAGTTGTACAAAAACAATGTGCAGAAGTGTCAAAATCAAGAGATGAAATGAAATGATTTTGGTGGGAGAAAACAGGGTAAAATATCCTATTTCCAAAGATTAGATTCACTGACCCAACTCAATGTCAATTTCTTTTTCTAATTTATAAAAATAAAATAAATAGAATTTTTATAAATTAATAAATATTTTTTCAATATAAAAATAATAATAATTGATAAAATTAAATAAATTAGGGTAAACTTTTATGAAATGTCAACAATTTTTCTTCAACTACAGGTATTCGGATCAGATTGTATACATTTTAACTGATTTTATGGATCCTGGAGAAGAAGCTGGAAAATCCCACCTTGGAAGAAGCGAATTGGTGACTTATGAATTGTTTGGCAGTTGCTGAATGATTAATGGGTCGTTTATCAAACACTTATTCGGTAAGTGCTTACCGGTAAAATTTAACACTATTATGTACTTACCGGGTAAGATTTTAGTCCATCAAAACGACATAGTATACAACAATTTACCCGCTAAACGCTTACCGTGGTAAGAGTCGTCGCCCTCACTTACCGGGTAAGACTCTTGATCCTTGTCTCGCTCTTACCGGGTGAGATTATTGGTACTTACTATATTCATCCGGTGAGATAATGTTGTTTGGTAAGTGCTTACTCAGGTAAGGGTTTGGTAAAAGTCTCTCATGATATATTGTAAAATAAAATATAATTATTTGATAATTGTTTACTATGAAATTAAGACGCTGAATGGTTAAGGGAGATCCATAATACAAAACCATTCGGAGAGTTTTAGAACCATTAAGAGACATATTTTTTTTATCAAACAAGATTCACCTCTTAACGATTCAGATGTTGTCTGTTAATGAAACTATTAAGAGGTAAACAAACAACCTTAAAAGCATCTCCATCAAGTATGCAATATCTTTTTATTTTAAACAAGAGTTTAGCATAGTTGTTATGCAAATTTTGCCCAAATCTTCAAAAAAAATTAAAATAACATAACTGTTGGAGATGCTCTTATGAAAAGTAGCTTCAAAGGCTCAAGTCTATTATCAGTTAGTTACCCATAAGATTAATATTTTTTTTATTTTTTTATCTTCGAATTTGTGGGAT